TCGTTATGCGGACGAGAAAACCTCCATAACCCAAGTTCAAGTCAAAGTTGAGATGACGTCCAACTTCACTTCGCGCCTCCCTCCACTGTAAAGCAATGGCATGTATGAGGTGCTCAAACACTGGCAAGGACCCCGCAGTAACATTGCTTTACAATTTTGATCTTACACTCCTCTCTATAAAAAGAAAGCCTAGTTTGAAAAAATGTGACAGAACTTTCCCGCCAACCTAATATGTCTGTGCATGAATATGAAATTGTTAAATGCCATTTATGGACACAATTTGAATAGTATCAATCCATCATTTGGTGCTGTCCAACCGTTAGAACTTTCTCTTAACAGCAAGCGCAGCCGTTGCTTAAAATTCACCTTCGAAAGCCTATCAGTGCCCTAGCCACAAGTACAACACTCACTTTCGTTTACCGTGCTATTTATTGCCACGTGATGGGTGATCGATTTCCCTAGAGACGAGCTTTTATTAGAAAATTTTTCCTGATCTTTTTAGGCTTGTGTATTGACGGTGCTCACGAATTACACTATTGAAGTCGTACTTTGCCTTAGGAGAAAAAACAGAAGAACGGAAAAAAACTAGACATGTCAATGAGGTCCCTAGGGTGATGCTAGCTTCAAAGCGACCAGTGATCGAAACTCCATGAGAGTACGTCAAAAGGCCAAAGAAGAGTGATAATCAAGAAAGACTTCTGATACATGATGACAGCCCTCCCGAAAAATTCAACTCCCAAAAAATTCAATGGTAGTAAAAAGTCAGGTGAGAATTCGAACAAAGGAGGTTTATCAAAGGGTTGAATGCAAAAAGCAAATTATTAACTCGGTAGCGAAACGCTCTATAGATTGAGGAGAAAGTTTACTGAATTGGAAGATCTTGAGGGTATTGATTTCCCAAGAACCGAACTCAGTTGATCGGTAATATGTTGTCCTGTCCTACCTCCTTCAGTAAATAGTTCAGAAGTCGTAACCAGCTCCAAGCACACATTGTATGAAAGCCAGGGATAGTTTGGAGGTTTTAGAGGAGAAAGCATGCTCGCAGTGGACTGGATTGCAATTCCGCATTTTGGTATGGGGATCATATCATAAAATATACAACTACTAATTAAGGCGAATGTGAGGTCCAAGTACAAGAAGCACATGTAAGACAAACTGGACCCCCACACACAATGGGATGTGTACGCATAAGAGGGCGGTCTTGAAACGCCTCCAGAGGGGTCCAAGGATTGGGAAAAATAAAAGATCAACAACAGGTTGGCGGATGAAGTAAGGGAGAGACACCCGGTGTTGAGGCGTGCACCGAATGGATAACTTTTTTTGCAAGAATTCATAACTCGGTTCCAAAACCAGACAACAGCAGGCGAATGCAAATGTGTCTTTCAGCATAGCAACACCGTCTCAACCGAGGTGGCATAAACAAAATTCCAGAGGCTACTCGCTGAGAAAAAATGGGGTGTATAGGACAAAAGAAACGGTAAAGATTGGTGTTGCTGCCCGGTGACAAGATGAAAAAAAAACTTCGTTTCTATATTGGTATTCGGACCCTGAACTTGAACTCGCACCTGTATTTAGGAGCTACATTGCAAATGCCTCAGAAAATTTGTGTATTCAGTTCCATAAGAAATTGTAAGAGGAAGCAGTGTGGATACGGGCACACATGAGCAGTACTTCATCATCACGGGAAGGGAATCTCGTCTTTATTTGGGGTTTCTAATCGTACTAGTACTGACGTAACAGGCGCGGTAGCAACACAACATGCCTGCCCTGTGGCGGTTTCCTGCTGAGCGGTGTGCTGGGGGAGACATGGCTAGACAAAAAAACTGATTCCCTGGTTGCTTGCGTAGTGATCCTTCTCTTTGCCGCGACTAAGCCTTTGCAAGGGGAGCGGCCTGTTCCGCTGAAGACTGATGTCACTTGGCCTCCCCCCTTTCACCCTTTGGCCTCCTTGGCTGCCTGTATAAATGTGATACTCGTTGCTGATACTACCCCGGTAGCAATTTTTCTCAACGTGCGAAACGGCCAGCTTTCCTCGCTCACCAGCTGATTGAACTATTCGTGAAATCTAGAAATTTCTCCCCCTATTTCTCAAGAGGGTAGGAGTTGGTGTAGTGACAAGTGGTGCGCATACCACTCGCGCGGTCCTGGATTCGAATCCCAGGTCGACTCCCGTCCAGACCAACCAAGCCTTTTATCCCCCGTGTACACTTAATTGGTACCAGATCCCTCTGGGAGGATAAGAACAATGACTTGCACATCATCTCCACGCAAGTCATGAAAGTTCATATTCCGTTTAATAAACCACTACGATTCTTAATGGAAATAGAATGCGTGCGTGAATGCATCCCACAAAGGAATCGATCAACGGCGAGGATTTCATCCTTATCCTTTATGTTCTCAAGAGCCGTACATTTTCCATGAGATTACAGGCAATTTACCTGACTGGCTAATAGTGCTCCGAAAAAAAGAAGACGAATTCTATTTGGAAACTAAAACATGAAGAAGCCTTCTAACGAGTCTCATTTATTTTGCTTTTGTCATCGCTCCGGGATTTTGCCACGACAAAGAGTTTTTTTTTGGCATCATGCAATAAGCACGCGGTGGCTTCGACTTTGTCTCAACAAAGTTCGGATATCAATTTGCAACTCTTGCCGTTCAATACCACCTCCGCTCACATCAAATGTTTTTTCTTGCTCTGGGCAGGAACTTTGTGAACCATACCATAATATTCCCTAATATTTCCAGATGCTTGTGCGAAAGCAGTACTAGCTCAATCGGGCATACTCTCTGCTTTCCCGGCTTGCTATAATATGATCGACCTCACAAAGCTATTCAATATTATGTTCGGCAGATGGTTCCGAAGGTGAATAGTCCCAGTTGGCTACACCTTTTCATGTACTACGACAATGTGCGTTTGTCGTAGTAAATAGAGCCAGTAAACAAATTAATAAAATGGTCAGGGCAGAAGTCGTGCCGATTTCCCACCCACTGCTGTTTTTCTCCGTGAATCTCGCACAACGCTGTACTGCGGTCGCGGTGGAACGCAATCCTTGTGTGCTTCTGTGGAATCGGGTCCAATTCTCTCTGGCTGAGGCGGAGGTGGTGTAGTGACAACAGGAGCGCATACCACTAGCACGATCCTAGGTTAAAATCCCGGGCCGGCTCCCGTCCAAGCCAACCAAGCCTTCTATCCTCCGGGTGCGGCGAATTGATACCAGATTCGTTTGGATGGACAGAACACTGACTTGTACATCGGCTAGCCCCCGCAAGTCATGGTAAAGGTCATATTCCATTCAACAAACCACTACGATTCTGAATGGAAATAGACTGCTTGCCTTATCCCGCAAAAGGATTGGTCATTGACCAAGGTTTTATCCTTTTAGCCTTTCTTGTGGCCAAACTACCTACATCTGCGCTCGAGTCGTATTATATTAGTTGAGAAGCATCCCTCAGTGATGTGCTTTCTTCAGAAAAGTAAATTAGAGGTAGAGATCTTCCGACCTGAAGGAGTGCGAAATTCGATCATTATCGATTATAAGATGTTTATAGGATGTCTAGTTTTATAGCGACTGCAATTTGCAGTACAATAGAACGCGAATAGACGGACTGGAATTAGGAATCGCAGCCTCCTTGATCTCATTCTTTGCAATGACAAATCTGCTATTCGTAATTTAGAGTAGAGTGCACCGTTAGGCTGTAGCGATCACGCAACGATAACTTTTGATCTCAAATTTACGTTTTTGGAATCAAAATTTGTACTCAACATGATTCCAAGAGTGGTAACTACCTCAGGGTACATTCATATTTGGCTAGTATTGACTGGATAGGGTAGCTTTAGCAGATGTGAGGACACGAATGAGATGTACGAGTTGTTTTTATTCGTCCTCAACCACCACATTCAATTGTTCACTTCGCTAAAAAGATTTCCAGCTTCACAGAATAATTCGTGCCTTAATTGTACATGCTTTCTAGTAAGAAAATTTTGATGCCATGAGTAGTAACGATTCACAGGATCTACAAACTTCTGTCGCAGAAATTCGACGAGTGTCTTTATAAGTTTAATTGCGCTGTTGTGGAAAAACAGTGGAGTCGCAGAACAAATCCTTCCTTTCTAATTATATCAAAGCTCAGATATATTCTAGAAAATTTCTACTCTTGTGAAGTCTGACGGCTGCTGGCTATTACTGATGTCGACAAGGCGGAAACTTCAGCTGATGAGTTTGAAAAAGTATATGTAAAACATGATGAAGCTCAGGACCTCCTCTGGAGTACGAGTTTTGCAATGTGGGAAACCTAGAGCTACTCAAACGCGACGATATTCTCAAGCTCCTCCTAAAGTGGCCCTCTAACTTCTGCCATACTTCTGATGGTATACCTTTCATGCTTATCAAGAAAGTTGCTATCTATTATCTCGTTGAGCCGCTGGAGCTTTTGTTCAATAGGGTTTTGTTGTACGCTGAGATTCCTTCTGGGTGGAAGCAATCGTTTGTTTCGCCCTTCCCCAAGAAACCTCCTCACAAATGACCCAGAGACTTATAGGCCTATAAGTATCGCATTTGTATTTTGCAGACTATTCGAAAAAATTATCAAAGAATCACTTGTGAAACACCTTGAGATTAATCAGGTCCTGCCTGAGTGCCAGCATGGGTTCAGGAAAGGGAGGAACACGGTCTCTTAAATGCTCTTGTCACTCAATAACTGGACATTTGCTCTAGACCAAAATTCTAATGTGGACATGATATATTTTGATTTTTTGAAAGCGTTAGATAAGGTCTGCCACGAAAGATTGCTCTATATGTTGTTATCCATAATGAGACTGTTCATTGGATTGAATAATTTCTATCCGGCCGCACTTTGAAAAGTTAGGATTAATAACTCTTTTTCCTCGGTTAAACATTGCATGAGTGGTGTCTCTTAGGGTGGATTATTGTCTCCTATCCTTTTTAACGACTACACTTAAACTTCCCTTGCTGCTCGAGAATCTTGCAGTTACTTGCCAGATGTTTGCCGATGATATAAAACTTTATAAGCCTGTCGGTTTCCCCGAACGATTCTTGTCAATACAGAAAGCCGTACAAACAGTATACGAGTGGTCCGTGACTTGGGGGTCTCCCTTTCAGCCTTGAAAGGACCAAAAGTTTGGATTTAGGTAAGAGTAACGCTAATTATAAGTATTCTATCCGTGGTTCACTTATCGAGACAGTCTCTTAAATAAGAAACCTTGATTTCCTTGTTAATAATCTTGATTTTGGACCTCACTACCTCCAAATCGCTGATAAGGGTGAGCAAAGGCTATTTTTCTTACTAAAATCTCTGGGGAGCAGAGATCCTCTTGTTTTGATTCGGGCCTACAAAATGTTTGTCAGACATATTCTGGAATATGGAGCGTGTGTGTTTTTTTCCTCATAAGAAAAATGCTATTCAGACCATTGTGCGGGTGTAGAACAGTTTTACCAGTAAGGCTTTCATAAGGGCTCTTGGTTATTCCTATAAGTATTCTCACGCCATTGTTAGAAATAAATTGTAGGTTTGGATTCTCTTAAAAAGCGTAGGTTGAGGAATGACTTGATAACCGTATACAAAATCATTCAGGGTACCATGCTTTTTGTTGCCCCTAAACGCTTCTCTTTTGCTGCTACGTCCACTAGAGGAGAGATTATCAAGCTGCACTTCAGCAAGGCGAGGGTTTCGGTTGGTGGTCACTTTTTTACTCAACGTGCTCGCAGTGTGTACGCTAAGATTAGCAAACGATTACCTCACCTCTTAGCTACTTCTCCTTCAGACGAGAAGTTTCCCCATTATCTCAAGGACATCAGCTAGTTGTCTTTGCTTCTTGTTGTTTTCTCTTGCATTCACCTCGCTTTTGAGTCAGTAGCGGTGTTTTTTCTACTTGTCGTTTTAACAAATAATCTCTTAGTTATGGTATTTCTGTTCACGTTCTTCCCATGTTGGAATCTCCCGGTTTGGTTGTTCACTGTCCCAGTTATTCACATGTCCATCCCGGGCGTGTAATAAATAAAAAAATTAATAAATAAAATCTGACAGTGAGACCTTTCTTGACAACTTTGATGTCACGTTCACTCACTTCCATTGTGGGGCTATCCGTTATTGATAGATAATTCAATTCCTGTGCATTTGTCGACGTCCAGTTGAAGGGAAAACCAGAATTCTCGGGAGTCGGATGGCTAGAAATATAATCAATAAACATAAAAAAGACGAGGCACATCTCAGAGAGGCAACAAATTAACAATCATTGGATAGCTTGGCAGTGTAATTATCAAAATATTGCCCGAGTTAGTTGACAGACTGCCATATTCAGGTTTAACTCGACTCATTGCACTGAAATATCGCCTCAATGAGAGGATTTTTGTATGATTTTCCAATGATTTTCTTCAATTCAATGTTCTTATAACTTTTCTGCCATAATTCTTTTTGAGAACCACTTCTGGAATACACTTCACCCAAATGTATCAGGTCGACGTTCCCACGAAAGCCCATAGAGCTACTTCGAGACGTGGTGGGCGATCCGGTCTACGACATTGGAGAGAGCGAGTGGGGACTAAAGAACCCAATGCATACTTCAACGACTGATGCAGAAGATGAGAATGAGAAAGTTCATCATGGCTCGAACCACGGCTACCTTTACAGGGTAGAGCTTTATGAAAAGTTTCATTCAAAGACTCATATACACTGCATATTATAATGTTGGGCGCAACCCAAATTTTTGGTAATCCAAACTTCCTGTGTCTCTTTCAAAGATGCTGTGCTCAACAGAGAATCCCTTATATGGATCAACCTTGCCCACGTTTTTCTGAATTAATATCGTCTGTGATTGGCACAGGTACCTTTTTAAGATTGATCTCCTGCCATTTATCACAGATTGGTCGTTCAAGAGTCTCCTACAATTTTTATGATAAAATAAAACAATAAGGTCAGAAACTGAAAGTCAACAAAACTAAAGACTCGCCAGAAAATATTTCTTATCTTTTAAACAGATATCTTTTCGCATCTGATGAACAGCTCCCAGATGGCGCAAGATTGAGATGCATTATGGGATAAATTCGAAATAAGGAATGATTAATCGAGACGGTCTCTCTTGAATTTTGCCGTTCATACCGCACTGGGAACTGTAGAAAGAAACAGAGCGCTAGGTGCGTCTTCACAAGATTTTTTCACGGGACCAATGCAGTATGGTTGACCTTTAACTAGCTAACGCTCTGGTGTGGCAGCGTACTTCTCCGAACGGTGGAACTATCGGTGGATTTTTCTCACTCTCTTGGTCTTCTCTAAAGGCTCCTGACAGCATGCCCAGGCCACGAGATTTGACGAGGTGCTCCCTTCAATGAGTAGTTCCGTTGACAACTTGGCAAGGCACTGAGCATATTTCGCATATCGTTTGCTAAGTCTAGGCCGTCCTCCCGCACTCACAAAGCTTCCAGACTCAAGAGCATATGTCTCATCTTCCGTTCAGAGTATTTTGTGTGGTGATAACAAGTCCATGCTATGCAGTAGACGCAACAAGGCTCCGCAACCAATCTCTCTTAACTTCTGCCGGGTGGCCAAACTTACGTACGAACCGGCGTCATCGCAGTGAAGGACACATTTGACTGATTGTGAGTGTCTGTTATACTGCTTCATTCATATCGTCCCGTTGGGTAAAATAATTTTGAAACCGGCGTTTGGCTATGTGGTTGTAGTTTATAATGAATAATTCCCTTCCAGTCTCCTTTACAACATAGCATAACTTCCTGTACATAAACTGGTCCAGGGATGAAACGATGACGAGATGATGGTGCTGAAACGGCCTCACGACGGCTCTGGTCTGCGTTGTTGTAGAAATTGCCCTTCCCATCTCATCTTATCACATGCAGGGGGGACTGGGATGTGTGGGCGCTCTTTCTTTCCCATGGACTTCCCTATATTTCAACCAAGTTGGCAGTTTCGCTATAACCATTGTTTTGCAGCATATTTTCCGTAATTTCGAACAGTGTGTTGCTTTTTTTAGTTTTCCGTTGTTGCACTTCCGCTTAAAGATAGGAGCTCCGCCTTTATTTGCCAAATACAAAGTTCGCCACAAATTTGCCAGTGAGTAAAAAAGTGAAGGCAGTGAAGAAAAAAGGAAAGCTAATACTCAGTCAATGTTCACTGTTGAAAAGAGATTTGTCAGAAATGTCAACTTGGCCTTGGAGTTTACAGCAAAGGTATTGTATCGTAGCTACCGAATGTTAAAAAGGCTACATTTCGACCAGGGGGTATAGAACGTGGAGAAAAAATGGCCTAGAAGGTGCAATGAAGAGGTGGCAGGAGTCGCATGGGCCGCATGGAGGAATTAGTCATATCGATGATATGGAGATTCGTAGAGACCATAGAGCTCTTCTGAAGTACCGTCGTCCGTGCTCCAGCCAACCACAGAAGACGGCTGATGCACTTCTCCAAAAGTGCGGAAAAGGTCAAGATATTTGTTTTTTCCACTACCCCATGCTACTAAGTTAGCTAAGTTAACGAAAATAAGCAAAAAAGCCCCTGGAGCCCGGCTGGGGAGTACTACCTCGTACTCGGAGTACTCTGTACGTTTGCTGCTAAATAATACCTACGAGAAAAGCAGCTCTGTAATCATGACCTAAGCCAGGAGATAACCGACTATTTAAATCCTTCGTCACCGAATTTTGAGAGAGAGTCGTTAAATTGCCTGTAAGGTAGGCAAGGGTCAACCACCCTTGACCGTTTCGATTATCACTTACTCAAGTTGCATTTCGATACATGAAATATTGGCACCAAAATGTATCTTTTGTGATGCTCGATTCCCACTGAAACTAAAAAGTATGGTCTTGTTTGCTGTGGATGTCGCGTTCAAAGGGGGGGGGGGGGGAGAAGGTGGTTCTGCGCGACTGCAGCCCGTTTTACACTAATTGTGAAAGTGGCCGGCATTCACAAGTGGTGGGAAACGCTGGTGTCGCGCCAACCCATTCTTCGTGACATGCCTCAGCATTTATTCATCCACAGCGGACAAGACCGTAACAACCATTTCTTAAATGGACAAACCCATGACGTGCAAAGTTCACGATGAGCTCGGCAAAAATTTCGACGACTCTCTGATCGAGCTGCCAGTTCCTATCACGGCGCCTAATGAGAAAACGAGGAGTGATGTTGAATAAGTGAAGCTTGTCTGCACCGTGAAATGCCCCTAAAAACCTATTATTCCCCGAGTAGTTTGCAGAAACGTTTAGCGAAACTCACGATTAAGACTGTAGAAGTTTTCGCTGATATGATCAAAAGAATAGAGAAAAACTGGTGCATTCTGTTTGATGTAATAGGTAGCTAGTCTAGAAGCAGGAGCATCGTACCAGAAATGAGAGTACATCTGAAATTAATTCTTATTCGCATACGAAATACCTCGTCGGGACACGCTGCAATTTACGCTATGCTTTTTGCAATAGCTGCGTCACATCTTGCAGCTGTTAGTTAGACAATTTAAATCTAACTCTCATGTCATCTTATCAAAAATGTGGAGACATTCAGAGCTGACCTGCCGAGTCGGGCGTCACACAAGGAAAATGTGCTTCTCAATTAATCCTGTGCTGGGAGTATAATTGAGCAGAATGGTGTTTTCGAAACGAAATATGAAAGATTAGGTGCCGAGATACAAATAAGTGAACATGAAAATGTCGTGGCCGAGGAGGGCCACCGTAGCTTCTGCTGCAACCACTGACCGAGCTATGCCCGAAAAATTGAGAAAGTTGAAAAACAAGGTGTTCAAGCGCTTCACTTCTTGTGGAAGCTTGCACGCAAGACCGATTGAATGCCTGCAGCAGCGCAGTTTTCCGCCCAAGAGGCCATTTACGACTGCAAAAACTCACGATGACCTTAGGCGGATTATGGAAGGTCTTACACTCCGAGCCGAAACCCACAAACTTCATTTTGCATATGAGAAGCTGTCCGAATTCTTCAGTTAGGAATTATGTGGACCTCAGAATAATTGTCATGGAAATAGATTTCTGCACTATGGTCTAAGTATAAGTGGCTTCAAGCGAAGAGAAAAGGTGTCGCTGTTGGTGTATCTTGTCTGTTCCTGTTGATTAGATGACCAAATAGATGTACCACACAACCAGATCAGAAATCTGTCTACGCTCATCACAGGGCTAGGCCCCAAAAGTCGTATTACTGGGCAGTGTTCCAACAGAAACAATACTGACACTTGAGTTAAGTCGCCTTATTCCTCTTATAGACAGCCGTGCGTTTTCAGCTGTTCCGGCCAATTGAAATTACTGTCCAGTGACAAACGCCACGACGATTTGTCGACCGTTTAAACCGGCACCAATAGCACTTCATTCGTACTTGTTGAAAGTAGATACGTTTTATCTGTATTTGTTGACAAAAAACGAAGGTGTTAAGGGTCCAGACCCCCTAACACCTTCTTGTTAGGGGTTTCCTGAGCACTGGGAGCAGGTCTTCCATGGGAATGAAATCCTCTCACAGGCAGTTGGCACGATAAATTTCTAAAGACTAGTAGGATTGATACGACTGCGTGGCAAAATTCCGTGACCTTGAACAGGCGCTGCGTGGCGCTTTTTCCAAGAAGGATACCCTCATAGCGCCTTACTGAGCAGCAACATACCAACCTGGACGCCCACCTCGCCCGCCCGCCTACCGCTCGACATATAGCATCACAGCACGAGGATGTGCCGCTGTGGACCGCCCGTACCTACGTGTAATCTAGTGTAACATAGAGCGACGTAGAACGTACTGCTGGCTTTTTGTCAGGAGTAAACGGTTCAGTCGGTAGACTCGTCCAAAGCAGCGCCGCCGCAGCCGTTCGCTCCTCCACTGCCGCAGTGCAGCGAAGAAATAAAGACCCCTGTTTCGTGGTTTCCCCACCATTTCCCCCATTTTTTTCACTATTTTTGCATTACTGGGCACCTTCGCTCTTTTACAAAGTGTCTAAGAAATTATCGTGCAAAGCGCCTTTAACATTAAGGCAAACTACCACTTTTTATTTTTCCTCTTTGGTGTCAAATGAAAAGAAACTTCCACTTTTTGGATAGAACACACTTAACACATCTGTGTTAGGTGTCCAAACGCTACATGGACAGTAGGAGCGGATCATTGATGGCAGCGAAACTCACTAAATTTGAAATGAAAGGTTACTTTCCTATCTGCTTTTCTTGCCATCGTGGAACCTTCTGCGCCTTTAAATGAGATGACCGAATAGAATAAAACGATTCTAAGGTTATAAGTCATCATGGTGAGCTATCACAGTATGGCACCACATCATTGATAAACTGGATGTGGGGATTTTGTCTTGACGCCGAACCTACCTTCTCTTGCAAACGTGCAAACTTCTGTTGCTTCAGAAAAACAGTGCTCTAAAGCCTCTGACAGCTAGATCAGTGCACGCCATCGCATTGCATCAGAACCTCTGCTAAAAAGACTCCTCCTCTCAAGGGAGAGGGTGCCGGTACCAGTACTCCCCTCTTGCGAAAAAGTGCAATGATGTTGTATTGGATGGTTGAATTTTGAACGTTGCGCACGCCCAGAAGATATACTGAAGCTCCCTTCTTGCCGTTGCACGAAGTAGGTTATAGAGTCCCTAGAGTTAGTCCCGCGCCGTCGCAGGGCCCGCTGTTAGTGTTAGACGTCGCCATTTGTTCCGATCTTCTGCTGCGGCGTTCGCTTCAGTGAGGTCCCTCTTGATGACGTCTCTCCATCTTTTCTTTGGGGCTCCTCGTAGTCGCTTGCCTGCGTGGGTGCTCTGTGCTTGCGTGTCTGCTTTTAATTCCAATGCCTCTTACTGGGTGGTAGTTAGGCGTTCTCAGCACGTGCCCATACCATCGCAGGCGCTGCTCTCGTGCCTTTAGCTGGATCGGAGCCGTCTGTGTGGCCGCCCTGACGTCATCGTTTCTGACTCTGTCAAGTCGTGTCTAGCCGCAGGCCCATCTCAGCATCCTCGCTGAGTGGAGCTGCCTTTCAAGGCTCGGCCACACTCACTATCGTAGAGCATTGTGGGCCTTATCACTGCCCGGTACACCTTGCCCTTGAGCGTTTTCGAGCACCGCCGGTCGCACACGATGCCAGTGGACTCCCTCCATTTCATCCAGGCTGCGTTGATTCGGGCCTTCACCGCCTGGTCCACGCTGCCATCAGCTGCTAGGTCGCTTCCCAGATACTTGAAGTCCTCGAACCTTTCAATGCTCTCGCCATGGCGGTCTACGATGGGTTTGTCACATTCTTCGGTGTGCTCTGGAGAGGCACATCGTGCCCTCGCTGCATCTTGTCATAAAGTTCTTTCTTGCTGCCCGGTATCAGGGCGATGTCGTCAGCGAAGAGGATGGTTTCAGTGTTCCCTCCATGAGTTCTTTTGCCATGACATCCAGAGTCAGGAGAAGACGAACGGGCTGAGGGCTGATCTTTGGTGTACCCCAACCGTGATCTTTGCCTCGTTCGTCAAGCCGTGCGGGGTGCGTACAGCTGCTTTAGCCCCATCGTACATGCCCTTCACTATGGAGATGAGGTGCTCCGGAACGTTACGTTCTCTGAGCGCTCTCCAGAGCACACGCCGCGGCATGTGGTCGAACACCTTCTCAAGGTCCAGGGAGGCTAGGTAGCAGGGTCTCCGCTTCTCTCGGTATTTCTCCATCAGCGCTCTGGCGATGAAGATGGCATCGGTGGTGGGACTCTCGGGCATGAAGCCGAACTGTTCCTGCGAGATAGGAACAAGCTCCCTCAGCCTAGTGTTGACCAGGCGCTCGTATATCTTCAAGACGAGTGCTCCAACTACCGCGGCATCAAATTCACGAGTGCTCCCTTACCGCGGCATCAAATTGGTCAAGTTGACTCCCCATACCATGAAGCTGTACGAGCGCCTGATCAACTCTAGGCTGAGGGAGCTTGTCCCTATTTCGCAGGAACAGTTCGGCTTCTTTTCCGAAAGGTTCACCACTGATGCCATCTTCATCGCCAGACAGCTTATGGAGAAGTACCGAGAGAAGCGGCGATCCTGCTACCTAGCCTTCCTGGACCTTGAGAAGGCATTCGACCGCCTGCCTCGGCCTGTACTCTGGAGAGCGCTCAGAGAACGTAATGTTCCGGAGCACCTCATCTCCATAGTGAAGGGCATGTACGATGGGGCTAAAGCAGCTGTACGCACCCCGCACGGCTTGACGGACGAGGCAAAGATCACGGTTGGGGTGGAGGGAGTCCACTGGCATCGTGTACGACCGGCGGTGCTCGAAAACGCTCAAGGGCAAGGTGTACCGGGGTGTCACATTGGCAAAAGTGTGCTGATTCGAACGGTGCCTATTTCGATTAAATCCGAGTATTAACAAGGTTATGATCGTTTGAAGTGAAATCCTCAAAACGTTGAGAACTTTCCGGACAACCTAATATGTAAATACTATAAAGAATAGATACAAACTCAGAAACTTCATATTAGGAGAAATATTCACTATTGTGGAATCAAAAATACATAAAGTACTGAAAGCTAAACCATTTTCACATTGGTTCAACAAGACAAACATATCAAATAAACATCCTGTGAAAGATATTAGAAAACTACAAGAGATTTTCATATTTCTCCCATATTTCACCTATAAAAGCAAACAATAACTCACTTGCGAAAAACTATACATACCATCGTGAATGAAATGGCTATAAAGCACAACAAATTACAGTTAATAATTAAGGATTCTAGTAATAATACACCTACATAAACAATACAAATTCGGAACCTAATTGATGAGCACAGGGTATTTAGTACCAATGAGAACATTAGAAACATGGTACATATATCATGCCCATAGATTGCGCTATACCTAAACTACATAAATCTCTACTGAAAGTTCCTTCTATAACGGGAGCTAGAACTAGTGGCCTTAAGCGACAACATCACTAACTTCTGAAGAAGTCTATTTCGTTAACTATAAAAATACCACTGAATGCAGGAACACTAGTCACATAGAATATTGGGCGATCAATAATATAAATTAGTAGACAGCAATAAACTTACGTGTGGAAAATATGAAACACATTTCAGCAGACTATCTATATGTTCACTAACCGTCCACATTCTCATATAATCTACAACATCGAAGAAATACACAAACTTGTTACACAAATTGTAACAAAAAAATGCTAGCTTGATTAAAGGAAATTTATTACATAAATAGCATGTTGCACAAACTATAACTATCACACTATCATGGATATAATATACTACCACTGATATACTACTATTAGACTATTTATTGTGGAATAGTTATTGCCAATTTTCAGAATATCTTTTTGTACGAGAGACAGACGTACTGCAAGGTAGTTATGTTAGTCCTCTCCCACCAAACCTTTCACTATCTTATTTCGCATACATCTACTCCATTAAGCATTATAACAACAAATAGGTACAGATGAACATGGATGACATCCTTACTTCTTACAACAGGAGCACACAAACTCTAACTTGTATACATTTGTATATGTACACAAAAGTGAATCAAAAAAAGGTGCCTAACAGCATTGAATAATTTTGCTTCTTCACGTAATAACTCTAATATTTCATCAAAATTATAACATAACAACTTTTACGGAAGTCAGTAACAATATAATAATTAAATTATCACAGTAAAATGCGTCGCTCCTTCTTTCCCTTACTGATGGCCATACAAGGAGGATATAGCAATGTTCAGTTTCCGTCTAAGGGCACATGCGGAACGGAAACTGAGCGACTTAAGTTCCTCTAATAATACATACAAAGAAAATTTCGAAAAAAGACAAGAAAGATTAAGATACTATATAAAATCAAATCAATATCAAACTACACATATTGACATAATTGTTGAAAAGGCTTTTGCAACAATTTCTCATATTCGGAAGGGATGCGCCCTTAGGCTCGACATGAATAGAGGCTTCGTTGCTCTTAATATGTTATTCCGACCTTAGAGTAAGGTTTCCACACTTGAGTCTTTGCACAAAAAAGACATGAGCATTAGCACAGCACAGCGCAGCAAAGGCATGAGACTAAAATGGAAAAAAGCTCGAGATCACAAGGACAGTGATGTGACATTCAGCTTCAAATTATTCTCGCTCACTACCTAGCAGCAGAGGAAGATTGGAATTTTTCAGAATCAAGAACTTTCTCCATCGTCGAGTGTTTGCTTTCCTCGTTTTTTGTTTCAATGTGCTTCGCAATGGAACCAAGTCGAGGGCCAGTAAAGTTAAGCGCAAGTGGAAGGCGTACTCATTCCCTAGGAATACAGAGCGCTGGAGTGACCAGAAAGCACCACCTTTTCGTTTTGAACTTTTTTGCGGCTCCGTTTAGTTGGAAATGCAACGGTCTGATATAAACTTGAAGCGCTGAAAGTTTCTTAGCTCAGAAAGCTTGGAAAGAAAAAAAAACATATCTACTCCGCACCCTTGGATTGCAGACTGCTGATCGTCTGGCCAGCTCGGGGTACAGCATCGTTGTGCAAAACCTCTCGGAGGGGTCTACTCGGCCTCCAAGGAGGAGGGTGGGTCGCCTACCCAATGCTACTGAGCACCAAACAGCGCGAAATTCCATGTCAACTGCAGCAGTTAATCCGGCCATTTGCAATGAGATTAGTACAGTTAAACGTGCCTTGGGCGCTAAACCTGGTTTCAAAATTCATGGAACGGTTTACAAGAGAGTTATGGACATTTGTTTCGTGTTATGCCCCATTCGTTCTCTGCTGTGTTCGCACAAATTCAGAACGACAATCGTGTACTGCAAGTGGACGGTGGTATAGTGTGTAAGCGCACAGCTTCGAAGGCGCGAGGTCGCACGTCAGAATCTGGCTCTTACATATGCTGCTTTCCTTTAGACCATTTACAGTGAGGCTCAAAAACCTATCTATTTAGTTAACTTGCCAAGTTTCTTCCTTATTCGGCATTAGGAAGAGGCTAGCTTCTCCATTCATGGTTCTTTCTGAGCACTTTCATTACGAAAATGTTCGACCGTTAGAGCTTGCATAAAGATAAAATCCTTATGGTCAAATACCACTGGTGCTTTTCATGAAAGATAGAAACAAAACAGCTATCACAATGAGCGACAAGGAAGAACTCTCCACACACGGTACAGTTACTGTTCTCCACCAGTTCAAAGCGACAGCAGCACTAAGGAGGGTTTGAACTTCTGAACGATCTTTTGACCACGTGAACTGTGCAAAAGTATCCGATATGACCAGCCGTCAAGATCATGATCTACCGAGACGTGGCGATTCGCTTAAGAAAAAGTCAGCGGTTACTTGTTTATTCTATCGAAATGTTTTGCCCAGAGCTGGTGGTGGCGCATCTGCTGATTTTGGTTCCTGTGAAACAATAGGCATACCATTTCAAAAAATAACAAGAAAATAGGTACCTCTTTTAGTTGGAAGGTGCTTTGTTTCAAGACCACATGATGTTATTAATTCAGCTTTATGGGCTTACGTTCGGGATCACCTTCCTCAGAGCCTGGAAGGATCGAAGCAACAGCTTTGTTTGTGTTGTTCGTGAGGTTGAATGCGACAAGTTAATAGTCGGTTCTGACGAAGAGACATGCGTGGAAAATCATGATGGAAGATCCTACAGAGCATAGACGACGAGGTGGCGTGACAGATAACTTCGTTCTCAGCGATATGGCGAGTCCTGGAGGTAGGGTTTTCTATCGAACAATCAGCTTGCAATGCTGGTCCGCTCATCCACTAGAGGGGGACGATCTCTTCCTTCTATGAGCAGCAAGTATAGTCTTATTTCAGTAGCTGATCTGTTTTTAAAATCTAACACATGTGCTCTTGAACCACGAGAATTTCGGGCGCACTTCGGCGATGCGGGGGGGGGGCATTTTGCACTTTCGCTGCTTCACTAGTGCCGGTACACGTCTTACACTGGTGGAACCTGTGAACTCCTGCAAATCTGGAGCAAGCGCATCTTTTCATCATGGTGGAACCTATTAGCTTTTGTGAGCTCACGAAACGGCTGTCTAGATGAGACGAATCGTCGATGGGAAGCAGCAGAAGTGCAAAATCCCTTTCCCCCCTCCCCTTCTCCCCTTGTCACGAACTTTGTTATTATGCAAGCCACGATAACCCAGTGTCTTCGCAATGAAAGTTCTCGAAATCAGCCGTAGATGGAGAAGTTTGCTCTTTGCTGATGTCAAGAAAGAAACTCGGCAATTGAACTGAATAGGTACGTTCTCGGGACTGCGAACACAGAGGACGAATGGGCGCCATAGTGAGAAATAAATATCCATGACTTCCTTCAATGAGTCTCTTCGTAAATTACGTGGGCAGATTTGAGTCCAGCTTCTCAAGACATGCCCATATATGTATGACTCATTGCAAATGACTGAATCGACTTGTTGAGATTCCCCTGTGAGATTTGAGATAAATCACATGACGATTTGAAGCAATATTAGAGAAGAAAGAAACCACTTACTTTCAGAATTGAGTCAAACAAAATACTGTTCGACAGTGATGGATCCACTTTTGTCCAAATATATTGGGCTTTGCATCCTTCCGCAATTAAGCGATGATTTTGAAATTGTTTATAGCCGAGCGTAAGATTGTCCGCCAGCTTTTCGGCCAATGGACTATTTAAGGCGCTGAAGTTGACTTTCTTCTCGTTTAGTATTACTGAAATGCAATATGTGAAACATGACCTTGCTGCTATAATTTCATTATTTTGTATTTCAGTGAGAAACCAACAGATTCTTAGGGAGCTTTCATCCCGCGTTGTCCCGATCATCATAGGTATTTTCCTCCTGTGTTTTGCCAAATCTTCCGGCACATCAGGAATCACCCCACCAGCTCCATCGACAACGGGAACAAATTCCTGGTAATCGTCCCAGTTCAACCGCTGGAAAGTAACACTGCTCCTCTGAGGTTGTATTCAAGAATGATGTTAGCTGAGCTGAACAGCCACTCAATTCTCCACTGCAAGAAATGAGAAATATAAGCCACCTTGTAATCGAGAATCTCTTCTCTCATTCTTTTTCTGAAGCAGTCTAGAAGCTCGGATGAGTTGAAGGATCTGTATGAAAGTAAATCAGTGTAGCTGTTTTAAAAAGGCATGTAGTTATAAAGTGATACACGGGCATTTCAGAGTTCAATCGGGGAGTACAGTAACATAAAGGACCATGGCGTACTTTCTGACAAAAAGATAAGGATAAGTAAGAAAGTCAAACATGCACACCTCATTGCAAAGCTATAGTTTGTAACATTGCAATCAGTCTGGGGCGGTGTGAGGAGGGTGGGGGGAACCGGCTCGCTTCGGGCTGCCCTGTTCTATCAATAGTTATCGACTAGTGAACGATTTACAGAGAAAACAATCAATTACCTTAACGCCGCAGGTGCGGTCAATGCATCATCTTTGAACCGACCCAACTGATTGCGATGATACGAAGTGTAGATATCAGCAGATATTAGTGTTAAAAATGTGAATCTCTCCTTCCTTACGTTTCAGTGCGCTAAAGCTTTTACTGTAGACGAAGAACCATGCGGGAGGGACGCGTGCAGCGCCCCTCTTTAAGAGTCCTTTGGTAATTGAAATATAATAGTAGGTTAGCGTTATCACTTAACCGGCACAACAGAACGTCATAGACTTCCCCATAAACGAATCAGCTCGAGAGGAGGAAATTTTCTAGGCGCGTCCGTTATTTGTGTCAGCGTTTTGAGCGTACGCCAGCTCCTTTAGGGTACGACGCCAGCGCCAGTAACTACGAAGGTGTAGGTGCCGATCTAGCTTATGCCAGCGTACGCGTCTATCAGGAGTGGACAGTATGCGGAAGTAGGTGAGTAGCAGACTTAGGATAAGTCGTCGCGAACTTGTGGCGTGTGCAACCACACCGTACAACTGCACTGCACCGTACATCAAGATTGCATAATTCTATGCTTTAGCAGTTACCCAATCCAGCAGTCTGCTACCCTCCTAGTTCTCCATACTCTCCACTCCTGGTGAACGGTGGCAGACACTGGCACACTCTGGTTTACGCTAGACCGACACATATACTTTTCCAGTCGCTCGAAACGCTGATGTACACTGGCGAACGCTAAATCGATGTCTACAGGGAGTTTTCAAGAAAAGACACTTTTTTCCTCGACTTTCAAGGCGATATAAGCGACACTTAGTAAATTCTAAGTGGACATGCCCACCATTTACTATACTTCGTCGCAGCCCTCTGGACGAGGCCATCAAGAGATTCTGCCACGCGACTGTGATTCGGTGCCTGAATTCAGCGAGGTCGTTGTTTCCTCCCCCACTGCAGACCACCCTGTTGAGCCCTGCCCGTACCCCGTAATCGAGTGGTTTGAGTCAGGTGACACACTTGGATATTCCGTCTTCTTCAGATACTCGACGTCCTTCCATTCAAAGTAGGTGAGATTCCTTTCGTCTTCCCATTTCAGGGACTTCCGGACCATACCATCAACTCGCGCCTTGACAGCTGCGCTGAAGATGATATCCTTGGCTGTAGCGACGTTGTGGGAGCTGCTTGATGCTGGGGATCTCCCAGATCAAGAGCGCCGTTTCCAAGTAGCTGTCCATGGGTGACTCGAAACAAGAGGTTTCGCAGCTGTTTGGAGGTGAGGTACATTTCATATTCCTTTTTTAGTTCGGTTGCGCAGATGGTTTCATATTATAGTGTACATGAATGTGACAGACGAAAGCCTGCTTCTGCTCATCGAAGAACATCTTGGGTATCTTCTGGTCTGATACTCGTATCCACGTCTTCTGTCTGAGTGCGGGAGCTTTACTGATATGTGACTCAGCCGAAGTTTGTTTTTTGCCCCCCCCCCCTGTACACCTTCCCAGTTGCTGGCGCTGGGGCACGCTCGAAACGCTCAAGAGGCTCTCGCACGCTGACCGACGCAAGGTATGAACACACTCGTCCTGAGTGCCAAAACCAATATATCAGGTCATCGCATTGAAAAATGTGAAGACAAATGGAGTGCTGGCGTAAAATCAGAGGGACTACGGCGAAGTTTTCGTATTAATTGGAAGCTAGTGCGAAGGCCATGTTGACCAAGTTCCGCACATTGGCTACGTATATGCAAAATGCGGATTTTTTGTGAAGAAACAACCGCGTATTGCTTTCTTCCGTGGGAGGGAAACTGTGTGAGATGAGCTTCTTGACAGAGTATACTGATTATATGGTACCTTCGTCACTCCATTTTTCTCATACACAACACCCAGGAATACCGCTTGAAAACAACCAGGGAAGGCGAGTTCACATCATTACTTATTTCTAGCTATAACCCAACCCTCATTCACTTCTTCTGCAGTCAGAAAATTAGAAGCACTGAGAAACGAATGGAAACAGCATAGCTGCCACCAGCTTCTCTCGTACATCCTCGCATTGCCGTTTATTTGATTTCATTATTCTGTGTCAGCAAGTTCGCTAGGTGGAACTCTTATCACTGCATTAGCGTCTCGACAATCGTCGTATTCAGTGCCTGAACGTGGCTTAAGATTAACAAACCTTCTCCTAGCGTTTCCGACAGAAGCATCCCACAAAGGGGCAGCTGAAATTCTCCCGTAAGTGAAATAAACCCACCAATCCACTAAGGCATGAGCGGGATGAAGCCGCTCGCTTGGTTGGACGTAATAAAAGAGATAAGAGATTCACTGTGTTGCCATTATAGTGGCGACGTCCGTTCTTCCACGTCATATCACTGAGGACTGCTTGCTTCTGATGGTTGAGCTGAACACGGACATCCAAATACAGGTGACAGGCCTTCGTGACGGGCCGGCCTACGAGACTCATTTCACATGGTCCATGTTTGACTATGCTATATGAATTCCGAATTAGCTACGGCGTCCGCCGGAGTCGACGCGCACTCGCAAGGCCCGACGAGTGTAAAAAAAATATGCGAGGGTCCCCGATGCGACGGCATCGAGTCAACTAGGCTAGTCTGAAAGTCGTGCAGAGAGTTCAAAGCTCGTGTTGCAACCCTGAATGTTGGACACTGACTAGATGGTCGTATAAATTGGCAGAAGCGCTAGAGCACAGAAGGATCGACGTCTGTGAGGTGCAAAAGACGAGATGGGTCAAGCAGAAGGGTCGGGCAGAACTTGAAGGAAGCTGGCCGCGGCTTCAAGGCCGCTGTCGAGCAACAACTGTACCACTCCTTCTATTCATACCCCGCCAACTGGATGTTCCGAGCAGTCTTAGCACGAATTTCGGGCTCTGCTCGCTGCGAAGACGGCTAAGGGACCACTACAAGAGAGTATTATTGTGACTGATGACCTGGACGGGCATATGTGCTCTGCGAGCGATGGCTGCGCTATGATATTGGATTCGGATATGGATCCCGGAACGCCAATTTTGAGCGGTTCTCGAGTATGCAGACTCGCATAACTTCATCATTCTGAATACGAAGTTCTGCAAACGTGACATCATTTCATAACCTTTTACTGCAAGAGAAGCAGAACAAAAACACTTTTTTTCTCATCAGATATGGCGATGAAGGACTCGTTGCAGGCGTCAAGGTAGTGCAGTATGAAACAGATGCAACGCAGCACCGCCCGTTGATCTGCACGGTGGCATTTGCAGCTCCCAGATTGGAACAGACCCTGAAAGCAATGCTGCTATGAAAGAAGTAATCGTTAGCGACTAGAGGAGCGGAAGGCAGCTGTGGCTTCTTGCTGCCTTTACCTGAGTTCACAGCTGTGTACGAAGCCTGGAAAGAAGCTGTTAACTCGAAAACCCAGGCTGCCCGCTCCTAACTTGGCAAAAATATGCCCGGGCGGCGTAGAATTGATAAGGAGGCCTGACTGTAGGCGAACAGCGTCAAAAAGAGGGTTCTCGAGAAGAAGAGGTACGTGTTCCCCGAGCACAAATCGGCTGACAATTGGCAGCAGTATCGGGATGCGAGGAGTGTGGCAAAGAAGACTGGGGCTGCTGTAAAGGCCGCTGTCTCCGACGATGTCAGCAAAAAGCTGGAGACGCGCGACGGTGAGCGGTACCTGTGCGAACTCGTTAATCTCGCCATTGCCACAGCGAAGATATACTGAAGTGTTTGGCATAAAGGGTGAGAACGGCTGTCTTCTGATAGACTGAAAAAAATTGATGCAACGATGGCGGACTTCGAGAGCGTCTCAACCGTAAAATTCACTCATCCCTCTACCCCCTGTGCCTCATCAAATAAGGCCCCGTTCAAAAGATATCCGTACAGGAAACAGAAGCGGCTCTAGGGAAGATGATGGTCGGCAAAGCAACAGGCCGCGACGAATTGCCTGCTGTTCCGTGGAAATCGCAACGATGATTTCTGCAGAGTGACCGAAAAAGTTTTTCAACCATATCGTGGAAGGGAAGAAGGTGCCCAAGGACTGGCAGCACAAGGCGGCTACAGGGCGTGACGATCACGACTCGGAAAAAGAAAGGCAGCCAAGCAGATTGCTCGGACTACCATCCAAGTGGTCTACTCTCGCGCACCGTGAAAATCTTCGAGCGAATGTTGACGCCCGTGTTCGTGATATCGTCCAGCTTCCCACCAGTCAGTGTGGCTTCGTGACAGGTTGTAGCACCATCGACGCCATAAATGCCGCTCACCCTTTGCTGGAAAAACTCGTGAGAAGTGCAAGCCCCTGCATGTAGCCTTCTTAGACTTGGAAAAAGTCACTCCACCGTGTGTCGCGTGAAATTATACGGTACGCCTTGCGAGAGCGCAGCGTGCCCGAACAGCTGTTTGAGTGGGTGCGCACCCTTTATTCAAGCCCAGGAAGTAAAGTGCGATTACCTGTGGGCATCTCTATGAAGGTCTCCATCACGTTGGGGTACACCACGAAGCTCTGCACCATCCCCACTCCTGTTCATCGTCGTCATGGACGCTTTCTCACGAGATCTACGGAAAGAAGTTTCCTGGACGCTTCTTAACGCTGATGATGTGATGCTTACCTGTGAAGATAAAAAACCCTGCAACAGCAGGTGCAAGCTTGGGTCGATCGCCTGGCGAAGTTCGGATCAAGTTGAACGTCAATAAGACCGAGT